CGCTAACAGTAAGCTTTGCCAAAATGTCACGTGGCATAATTCGCTACACAGTGTAGCGAATTATGCATGCAAGTAATTCGATACACAGTGTAGAGAAATATGCCACGTCAGAACCAAAAATGCCACATGTCAAATTTTGAGAAATTCGTAGTTACTGCAAGTCCTGTAACTTTTCTCCTTTTTTTGGTTATTGTATTGTACAAGGAGCTAAGTCTCCATTTTTCTAAACAATCAATTTCTGGTACCATCAGCACATATGACATAGAAGCACCAGCTTGAGGGGGAGTGTTAAGAGTATTGATATAATAGTTAATTAGTATCTGATTGTAACTTATTAGAATCTGATTAGGATTAAATAGATCAAATGTAGTTATTGTAATGTATTCTCATTAATAAATGTAGAGTGCGAATGATCTGATTAGACACACGAAAATTTTCACACAAATCTCTAATTTCTAAGTGTGTCAATTAGGAAATATCATAAAGACATGCCAAAGTATCAGACCATTACTGAAGAACAGAGAAGAGAAAAGAGTAGAGGAAAGTATCTTGGTTATCACTCTAACCAACTAAGCAGAATCAATCTTAACAGATTGGATATCAGCATGATTAGGAAAACACAAGTAGAGGAGCATATAATCATCAGTACATGTTAAATCTCTGTCATTCTTGAATTTCTTACTAAAACCAGGTTTGTTGCAGAAGATCCCAAACAATTTCACAAGAAGATATGGTGGTGGTCTGCCAAACCCAATGTTTCTCAAACCCCCAGATGGCAGTGAATGGAAAGTATATTGGACTAAACATGGTGATGACATTTTGTTTGAAAAGGGATGGAAAGAATTTGCTAGATATTACTCCCTAGATCATGGGCATTTAGTAGTGTTTGAATACGAGAAAAATTCTTCTCATATTGAGGTTCACATATTTGACATGAGTGCTCTTGAAATAGACTATCCTTTCCATGGCCATATCATGGAAGATTCAGTTGAAATTTTGAATGAGCTACCTTCATGTCAGAAGAAAAGACTGAAATCACCGTTGTCATCTCATCCAACAAGTAAGAAATCAAGAACTGTCATATCTAGAGATTATGAAAGAAGCCCCAATCCAAGAAACTTGCTTCACCATCTCCAAACTAAAGGTAGTCAATCTGAAGTAACAATCTTTGAGATGCCAATAATTGCATCTATCAAGCAAGAGTTGGATGGTATGTATTTCATGATCAGATCATCCTTTCATTTACTGAGTTCAATTGACTTTTTGATGTTAAATGCATAATACACTCATGTTATTCTTTGGATATGTTGAATTTTTTACAAAGGATATCTGTGGTGTAAGTTATCACCGTGTTCAACAGGAAACTTCTACTAATATTACTAAGATTCAAATCAAACCACAACTTTCATATATGAAAATCAATCTTTTATGCTTGTCGTATATTCCTTGGTGAGCATTTGTTAAATACATCATATCTAGCTATGAATTAGTTATTAAATCTCTTGTGGTTGAAACAGAGATTTAAAGTCTAGGTTTTTCCATCAAAACCAGAATATACCATCATGATTTGCAGAAAATTCCTAGGCCTATCTTCAAAATGCTGCTGCATAGTGCATGCTTAAACTAAATGTTTTTGTTGGCATGTCACAGGTGGGAATGCAAGCAAAAGAACTTCACTCTTTGATTACTCCCTGCCCCGGGACAACCGAAGCTGTAGAAGAAGCTAAGAAGTTCACCTCAAAAAATCCCTTTTTCATAATCAGTATGAGGCAAAGTTTTCTAAGGCAAAGCAGACCAGTAAGTAAAAGTTAAGCAGACATTTATTTGAGTGAAAACTTTTATATCATGCTATCTTGCAGTTATTATTGTACTTTCACAAACTGTAAGGCTCTATTCTGATGACGATGAAAATATAACACAATGCAGTGCGTATCAAATGTCTTCCTCAGAAATTATGTAAAAAAGACACAGCAGAATGTGATGATACAGTTTGGGAAGAAGTTGTGGCCAGTAAAGTTGCTCTACCGTCAACAAGATTATGCAGCACGACTCTCCAGTGGTTGGTTCCATTTTGCTAAAGAAAGCAAATTGCAAGGTGGAGATATTTGTATCTTAGAGCTCATTAATGGAGAAGATTGTGTGTTTGATGTTCATATTTTCAGAGGCCACACTTAGGCAATCCATGAGGAGCACTTAAACCAAGTAATTTTGAGAAGATGTGTTACCCCTTTTGGTAAAATCGACCTTGTACTGTTATTAATCCGTGAGTTCGGTGTTTGTTATTTTAAATAACATAAGTTATGTCATTTTGAGAGAGAGATAGACACAGAAAAATGGAAATCATGAGAGAGAGAAAGTGAGTGGTTTTTTATAATTTAAAATTTAAATAATTTTTTTTTTCTGTCTCTGTCTCTCTCTTAAAATGACATAACTTTATGTCATTTAAAACGACAAACACTTTTTCCATAATGCGTTAATATGTGAACCAGCAGCTTATGTGCAGAGATTTTGTTTTTTAATTTGTTTCATGTTTTACCACTTAATGTTGTAGTGTTGTCTACTCGCTACAACAAAAAATGCTATATATCCCCGGATACACGGCTTTTTGACCCTTATGCCCCTTAATTAATAATTAATTACCAAATTGCCCCTCATTCAAAACTATTTCGAAAATTTACCCTTCCCAACAAACATAACACCAATCTGCCCCTGTTTGACCGTTGACCACGAAGCTTACCCGGGTACACCATTACCTACCCGGGTAAATTTTGAAACTTTTTATCTACCCGAGTATGTAGGGGTGTACCCGGGTAGAGTTCTTGAATCTGGGAAAATGTTTGAATTATTTACCCGGGTACGGAGCAGTGTACCCGGGTAAACATCGACGGTAGGGTTTTAAAATACCCCAGCAGCCCCATTTCGAAAACCCACAAAAGGGGTACCCGAGTAGAGCTGCTGGAGGAGTGTCATCTTGAGCGATTTCAGGCATAATCTTGCACTAATTCGTCTTGTTTGTGATCATCATTCGCGGACCTTGCAACCTCTCTGCCTTCTACCGATTGAAATCGATCAAAGATGCATTTTTTTTTCAGTTTTTTCAATTATGTTATGATTTCTGTTCTGATTCATTGTATTTTCGTTTATATCATTTGATTCTGTCCGAATTATTTTATCAATTTGTATGTCATACGCTTACCCTAACCCTAACCCTAACCCTGAATCTAACCCTAACCCTAACCCTAACCCTAACATGTATCTAATTTCTGATTTTGGTTATTTTTTCAGTTTAATAGTGTGACACAATGACCTCTCGACGCGTTTCAAAGCTGCCAGTGACCCATTCCGAGAGAAGAACCAAGAGTCGTCATCCTCTCAGCCCCAGGCTGCTTCGAGTCAGGCTCCGGACTTGACGTTCGGATATTTGTTTGAGGATGACATTCCTTCACACGAGAAGTTCGTGAAGTTTTTCATGACCCGGAAGATCTGCGAACCGAAATCACTGGATTCGGCATTCTTCAACCTAGAGCGTTTTGACATCGTGCCGCTTCTTGAGCAGACACATTTACTTCACCTGGCGGAGATGCGGTGCCCATACTCGGAGGTTATGGTAAGAGCCTTCTACCAGAACCTTGGCTACTCGCAAGGCGAGCTGACTTCCCGTGTCTGCGGGATTGATATCATCATGACTGCTCCTATCTGGACGGAGCTACTGGGGTTCGATTTTGATGGTGTCACAGGAGCAGCACTATATGATGGAGACAGCCATCATATATTTGGTGATTATAACCGGGAGACCATTGTTACAGAGACTAGGAGGGCAGACGCTGAGCCCGGTCATTTTGCTCATTATCCTGTTAGCAACTTGTCAGTTTCTGCTCGCATTCTTCATTATGTGGTGACACGTATTATTTTCCAGCGCCCGCATAATCACTCAAAGGTGCTGGAAGGGGACTTTGTCATCCTGTGGGCCCTCCTTCACAGTCAGCAGGTGAACTGGAGGCATTACATATGCATACTAATGTGGAAGGCAGCCAAGTCAAAGAAGGCTGAATTGCCTTTTGCATTTCTGGTGCAGAAGATTCTGCATAGATTTGGAGTGCCTATGGCAACAGAGACCTTGAAGACCGCCAGAGGCTGGAATGCTATATTTGGTGAGAGGCTCCTGAAGCAGTGTGGGATCCTACCGAACAGAGCGGGTATCTGGACGTGGAAGAAGGCACCAGAACCACCTGAGATCCCATTCCACCACGATGCTGAGATGGAGGATGCACCTGCAGGTGATGTGTTGGTCTTTATGAGTTTATGCAATTTTGTGTTGTTTAATTTTTAATGTGGTATTGAAGTTTGTTTTTCATGGTTTATGATGTAGGCCTTGATGATGATGACGATGATGATGGCGTTGCTGAGGTTGATGTCAGACCGACACGTCCCACCCGCAGTCGGCGACCACCAGCTCCTCCTGAGGGTGGATGGACACTTGATCATGTCATGGCATCCTTATATGATCTGACTACTGACTTTAGAGGATATAGACAGAGCACGAGCAAGTGGCGAAACCAGATGGACACAAGGGTTGCACGGTTGGACACAAGGGTTTCACGCTTGGAGGGTTTAATTGGCGAGGGTGCCCATACTCAGGAGGAGGAGGAGGAGGATGATGACAATGGGGATGACACACAATCGGATGAAGAGAATGGGGAGGACACGGCATCGGATTAGTGTGTCCATAGGGTTTCATATCATTGATTTAGTTTGATGTAATGTAGTCATTTTGGTACATTTAGGAACTTTACCTACATTGCATGGATGTTTTTGTACTGGATGTTCAAAATTTGAATGAATGAAATTTTCGTTTTGCGCACGTTCAGACTTGTTGGTTCTATGCATTAGTATGGGACCTTGCATTAATATTGTCATAATTAATTTGGAAATCAATTCAACCCAAAGTACTTTAATATTCATGTTCAACTTTGATTGGCGCACATCTTGATTACTGCATCCTATTTCTACGAAATCAATCCACCCCCAAGTCATACCGTATGTAGGTATTGCACAACAATTACCAAAATGCAACAAAAATTGCCAAAACAGCATCTGCAACAGCATCTGCAACTGGTCTACCCGGGTACCACGAATAGTCTACCCGGGTAGGATGTACTCGGGTATATCATTACGAGTTACCCGGGTAGACCAGTTGCAGATGCAGCAGCAGGTGCTGTTCAATCCATTTTGTTAGCATCTTGGTAATTGATGTGTAATACAATAACCTTAACTGACTCGGGGAAGGGGTAAATGGGTATGGTAGACATTCGGATTGCACAATACGGAACGAGTGACTCGCTAAACTTAACGGATACATTTCAACAATACATTTCAACAACACAAGAATACAGTTCAACAATACATTTCAACAACACAATACATAACTAATACAAGATAAAGTTTAGGGTACAAGGAAACAAAACAATACGTAAAGTGATTGTCATTACAAAACAAAGTACTACACAAAAACAATACGTAATCATGCTTGTCATAGTCTCAATGGACATGTACGAATGTTATGTCCAACTTGCTTGCAATGCTTACATCTGCTCTGACTGCTAGAGGGTTGAGACTCAACCCAATCCATCTCATTCTGAATCCTTGAAGACTTTGGTCTTCCTTTTGCACGTACCAACTGAGCATCCGGAATTACAGTAGGCCCAACAACGGATGGAATCAACAATTCATTGCCAATAGGAAACCAGTGTGCAGCATATACTTTAGCAATGGTTGGAATTTTGAAAACATGATCCACATAATCATAATGGTTTAGCTTGGCTACCTTGCAAACTGCTAATACATGACTGCAGGGATACCTCCTTGCTGTAAACCTACCACACTGACATGTACGATTGATTAAGTCCACTCTCATGATGTCACCGACCTCGTGTGTAGATTGATTGTAGGCATCCTCAACCTCAAACAATAACAGGTCACTATCATATATCCTCACACGATAAGTGCCAGCCAATTCATCATTTTTTTGCAACGCTGCCTCAACCTTCTTTGAAATTATCCAACCTTGTGAGATATCTTTTTCAATCCCTTCACGTCTCTTGACGAAATACTCAACGAGTCTACTGAATGTCATCTTGACCAATGCAGATATAGGCAGATTTCGTGCTCCACGAAGCACCTTATTCACACACTCAGATAGGTTAGTTGTCATATGACCAAACCTACGTCCTGTCTCATCATACGACCTGCACCATTGCTCTTTCGGAATCGCATCCAACCATGAAGCAACTTCAGGATTGTTCTCGATAAATTCCTTGTACCTAATGTCGAAATTTATCTTTGAACATGTGTACCCTGCAAAAAACCATGACATATGCATTGGTTAGTGAATTTCATCAACGTTTTCTTCAAATGGTTGAAAATGTGAGTAATTATACCGTACATTACCTAATTTCATCAACGTTTTCTTCAATTCCACATTCCTAAAACGGGTATTGAAGTTGCTTCCGATGTGACGTAGACAAAATACATGATAAGCATATGGAGGCTGCCACCCTCCGTGGTCTTTCACCGCCCTTATGATGCTTCGATGACGATCGGATATTAGACAAATACCATGCCTATGTGTGACATGAAAACGTAAAAGGCTAAGAAACCAGGACCAATCATCCAACCTCTCACCTGGAGGAACAACAACAAAGTCAATAGGGATGAGCTCAGAAATTATTTACAGTATGAAGTGGCAAAGAAGGGTCACATGCTTTCACATACCCCAAAGCAAAATTATTTACTCACCTGGAGGAACAACAGCAAAGGCAATAGGGAGCAGAAATCCATCTCCATCCTGAGATGTTGCAATCAATAGAGTACCTCTGTACTTCCCATACAGATGAGTGCCGTCAATTTGAATTATAGGCTTGCAGTGTTTGAATGCTTCAATGCATTGGTGTCCGTCATATACTTCAGCCAATTTGGCAAGAATGCGTACGATTTCTCCCAGTCACCAAACAACTTAACGATGGCCTTCATTTTTGCCTGTACGTTATGTTGTATCCATATGTTCCTGTATCCTCTCCTGTATCAGAGCTGGTCTTGTGGATGGATCTTTAACATATCTGGAAAAAAAAATTAACTTTACCATATTCTCAATTAATCTGAATCATTAAATAAACAGTAGAATCATACTCATTATAGCCGCACAAATGACATTTGAATCCAACTGTCTATGATCCTGTGCTAGGCCTTGATTTAGGCATGTGTGACCTTGACCCCATTTACCACCCAGTTAGCTCCCTTCTTCGGCTTAATTGCCCTCATATACCAGGGAAAAATGGTTTTTACACTTCATAACAAATCTTGACTCGTCGCTTTTTTCAACTATGGCTGTCTCAATTACAATGTATCTTGCATGTTGCAATTCTGGTTTGGACCCAAATTCTTGTTGCACAAATAACGGATCTCCTAACTTCCAACCTCCGTGCAAGTCATCATCGCCATATAGGATCT